GCAGGCTCCCAGCGGCATCACCTCTCTGGACCCGACGGCCCACCGGCATGTCCCCTTGAACCCGCTCCCCTGAGCGGCAGCCGAGACCGGTTCTCCGGGTCCCATCTCCCGCACTTCGGGAACCCGTGGGCTCCTAGCACATGGACTTCTCGCACAGTCACTCAGAGAAGAGCTTTGGAAAGACCCCGCCTGCGTGTGTCCTGCGGGAGCCATACTTTTCCTCGGTAGCTTCCGAAGTCGCACGCTCCGCCCAGGTGGACGGACGGGACAGAGGCAGGCGGCGTCCTCAGGCACGGAGTGATGTGACGAAGCCTCGCCCGTCCTCATCGGACGTGTGGCCAGCAGGACCCAGGGTCACCTGTTCCTTCTGGTCAGAACTGGCGGCCACTGCTGTTTTCCCAGGACCTGTCACTGAAGACACACTGAGGCGGCGATTCAGCCCACGCAGCGTCCACGCGGCCCGCGCATTCGTGTGTGTGTCTGTGTGTGTTGCATGTGTCTGCGTGTCTGTGTATCTGCATGTCTGTGTCTGTGTGTGTGCATGTCTGTATCTGCATGTCTGTCTGTGTGTGTGTGCGTGTCTGCGTGTGTATCTGCATGTCTGTGAGTGTCTGTGTCCATGTGTGGGTCTGTGTGTGTGTGTGTGTGTGTGTGTCCATGTCCTCCTTGGAGGAAAGGGCCGTGTGAATTCCAGAGTGAGGGACAAATAAGCCAGCAAGCAAAACATTTTTCTTTAAAAAAAAGAAAAAGAAAAGTCTAGACTCCAGGTTCCAATGGTACAGAGCGGACTCACTACCCTTCTGATGCTCAGACCTGGTTTCCAGAGAAGTTTTGGGGAAACGCAGCCTCCACCGGGGGGTCAGCTCAGTGACGGCTCCTCCCCCGCTCGGGCCTGTGCCCAGCACAGCGCACTCCACAGACCCCTCCTCGGCTTCACCTGTGGGCGGCACAGCCCACACCCCACCTGGGCGAAGCAGGTTCCACAGGCGGAGGAGGAGGAGCTCACCTCTCTGCCAGGCTGTGTCTCAGCCCCCGACAGAGGACATGGCCAGGGACTCGGGCTCACCTGCCACAGCGAAGGTGTGGGAACACACCCGCAGGTCAGACAGCTGCGCGGGCTCAGGGACCAGGGCGGGACGTGCTCACCTTGGTGGGACATTTCAGGCTTCCTGTGAGTGAAATAGGCTGTTACTTGGCACCTTCTAGGTTTGGCGTCATAGTCAAGAAAGAGTTGAAAGTATTTGGGGGCAGGGAGAAGTCCCAATTGGCCCTAAAGAGCTGATAGGCAAAGTCCTGTAGGTTGGACCTGGGGACACCTTGCTTCGTAGGTCACCGAGACACCACGGGACAGACAGATTCTGAGAACATGTGCACAGGCCGCTGAGGTTCCGCTGTCCAGGATCAGGACCTGCCCACCCCTCGCACTCAGACCCAGGGGGCAGGGACTGTAGGGCCAGCAGAAGTGCAGACGATGGATGTCCCGATCCACCTCCGGGCCTGTGTCGTCTACACTCTGGAAACGGGTGATCAGCGCAACTAAAACATGAATTGGCTTCACGTGTTGGCTGGATTCCACCTTGTTGGAAGGAAGACTCGACCAGCCCATTCCAACGAAGCAGGCAACCGGCCAGCTCCGCCTGTAGACACAGCTGTCATTCAGCGTCACAGAAGAGCCAGGAGAACCCGTGTGTTCGGGAAACGCCTCGGGGATGGGATGCTCCTAAACCAGCGACTTTCAGCCGGCGTGCCGCGGTCGTCAAGCATTTAGTCAGAGGCACGAACCTTTTCCCTTAGCGCAGTGGCTCTCACCCTTCCCGGCGCCGCGACCCTTGAACACAGCTCCTCCTGGGGTGGTGACCCCCAGCCATACAGTTATTTTCGTTGCTACTTTATAACTGTAATTTTGCCGCTGTTATGTCTTAGGCGACCCTGTGAAAGGGTCGTGCGACCCACAGGTTGAGAACCGCTGCCTGAGACTGTCAAATAAAAAAATAAAAAAAATGACAACAGCCAGCGGAGCGATACCCATGCGGTGTGAATGGATCAGAACCAGACCTATGTTCTGTGCCGCAGAACTTCAGTCACTAGCCCATGTGGGCCAGGAAATGAAGACGGCTGAAGATCGCGGCGGAAAACGCAGGACCACGTCACTCTCGTTTCTCCGAAGAACACCGTCGCTCCAAGAGCAGCGTCCACGCGGGGGACGGAACTGGTTCCTGCTGAGGCCCGGCCGGCCCGGTTTCCCTGGGACCCGTGCTTAGACGGAGACACAAAGGAGCCAGCAATTCCATCAGAGATGAACGAGGATCCTTGGTCTGTCTTGTTTTTCGAGAGTCCTTCGTCCCTGCCTCGACCCACCTCCTTGGAGAAGCGTTCCGTAGTCCAAAGGGCAGTGCTCCTATTGCACAATGGGGGTGGTTGGGGGAAGGAAGTGACCACACCGTGCGGCTCACACCTCCGCCATCCAGGGGGGATTTCCGTGCTGCGGGTCAGGGTCGCTGTGCGACGCTGCTGGTCACCACTGGACGGGAGCTGAAGGGCGTGCGGAGCGGAGGGGTTGTGGGCTGGACACGGGCGGATCTCACACCATGGAGCCCTCCTGCCTCCTGCTCCCCTCCCCCAAAGGGAGTGGATCCCCGGGGAGCAAACACCCCACGTTCCTGCCCTGGAGACATCGGAGGGGGCCAGAGCAGCGCGTCCTAGGCTCGGTGTTGACAGCGAGGTCAACAGCAACGTCCCCGGACCCAGGTCTGTTATCTCTGAGCAGGGAGATGTCTGGCCATAAGCCCAGCAAGTATCCCAACAACTGACGGCCGGTTCCACCGGCTGCGCCCCTCGCCCGGCGTTGTTCTCGGGGCCTGTTGAATCATTGCCCACGGGGATCCTGTCCGCGTGGACTTTGGCGGTTGGCAGATGGTCAGCAGGGCGCGTTGTGTGAGCCTCGCTGGGCTGCAGCGGCGCGGACTCCACCGGGCCCGCCCGGCTCCCGTTCAGATCCATTTTCTTGATGTCGACGGGTTTGGTTTGGGCTTCCTCTCCCATCATCCTTACCGCACAAGGAAGCATAAAATCGGGGGGGGGGGGGTCCACCTCGAGGAATGTTCGTTTTCCTTTTGCCAGAAAGCAAATCATCATAACAACAACAACAGGACTCTGTTTCTCTATTTGTGACGATCACGAAGAATCTTCGCGTTCTGTTTTGGATACGTTGAGCCAAGGTTTCTGCCAGAGGCCACGGAGAGAAAACTGTTATTAAGTTGCTCTGTTCCGTGAAAGCCACTTAAATACCCCTTCTCGGAGCATCTGGGGCCCCGGAGCCTCTCCAGGAAAGAGCAGAGGACAGGGCTCGGCTTCCAGCGCACCTGGGGTTATAATGACAGGGGTGCACCCTGCCTGCCACCCACGAAGGCTCGCGTCTCGCTCGCCTGTCTGCGCCAAGTCTCTCGCTCGAGGCACGCCGGGCTCCGTGACCGGAACTGAGAAGTGGGTTCCCGTCCGCTTGAAACGACCAACCCGCATCAGTAGACCCTCTTCCCAAACTTTGTTCTGCAAGCTCAGGCGTCAGGAGTCCTGGTGTCCCCTCGAACGGCCCCGGCCAGAGCGAAGCCCGATCGCTGGCTGGACGGCTCAGAGGGACAGGGAGGGAGCGACCGAGGGGTTCCGAGAAGTCCCCTGTGGGCTGAGCGTTCTCCCTCCCGCCGTCTGCCCAGTGCCCCATCCTGACGAGCAAGCGCCGCTTCTAATGATTAACCTTGGGGGGTGGGGCTGCGCCGTGCACAATGCGGGGCTTGTGTTCTTCATGCGCTCCTCTGACATCGGTGTAAAGAGTTAGCCGGTGAGTAACCAGGCTTCTCCGATGAGCCCTTCGTTTGTGACGGCTGATAACGCAGGCTGGTGTGAGGTGCTGTTGCGCAGGTCCGGGGAGAGGGGCGAGGGGACAAGGCCATCACGCCGCCAGTGCCCGTCCCGAGAGCCACCCTGAGCTGTTTGTTGACGGCGTGAATGCCTGGAAAACGGACTCCAAACTCTAGATGCTGTTTCTCCTCTTCCCCCCGACCCAAGGGAAAAATATCTTCAAAATCACCCACATGTCCCAACCCGGGATAAGGCACAAGTCGGGCACCAGGTCGACCCTGTCCATTCACGCGGAGCCGGATGAGAACGAGGTGGACGTCCGAGGACGGCCCCACCTTCAGGCACACGCAGGCCTGTGGCTGGTGCGCACACAGAGTGCAGAGTGACCGGTACGAGTCGCCGCGGCGATGGGCCGGGCTGCCCCCCCCCACTCAGACCGCAGATCTGCAGACTGTCCCCAAGACCGATGTGTGTTTGTCATGGATGCAGGCACAGTCCTGCAGGGCGGAGAGGCGGGAAATGCCACCGTGACAGCCCCCCCGGCAGTCCTGTGAGCGGGGAGCTGAGCGATTTTGTGGGAAATCATTCAAATCGTAAAGCCACAGCAGGTGAGCGTGGGGACCGCACTGCTGACGGGCACCTGGCACAGCGTGGACTCTGTAAACCGTGGCAGGTGCCTCGGTGGCCAAGAGCCGTCGGGCTGCTGCGTGAACTTCTGTATAAATCCTCTGCTGGGCAGCTTGCCGGTACCTGTACTATTTCAGCCTCTGTCCATGAATTAGCCGTGAGACGCGTGGACACGCGCTGTCTGGGGTCACTCCGAGGGGTCCGCTGAACAGGCCGAGGCGCGGGATCTCCCACAAGCAGACTGCAACAGCTCTATTAGCGGCAGACAGGCTGGCGTGATGGAATCCCTGTTCCTAGCAGCTCATCGATCGTAAACACTGAGCTGGAGGATCTCTACGCGGACGACGACGGGTGTGTCCCAATGAAAACGACTTCCAGGAGTGGCCGCGTGCGTCCCGGCGCCCCTGCGTGGGCGGCCGTGGGCGGAGGCCACCCTGCCTGGGCGAGTCCGCTTACGCACGGAAATCCCACAAGAACGCACGTCGGGAATAACGGTCTCTTCCTTGTTTCTCTGGCAGGTGGACGACCAAATGAAGCTGCTGCAGAACTGTTGGAGCGAGCTCCTGATTCTCGACCACATTTACCGACAAGTGGTCCACGGGAAGGAAGGCAGCCTCTTCCTGGTCACCGGGCAACAGGTGAGTGAGTGAGGAGCCCAGAGAGGTGTCCTTTGTACCATGTTCGCAGCGGCCGGAGCTCAGCTGGGTCAGAGGCACCGTTGTGCTTTGAGAGGACCGGTCGGCTGCAGAAAATCGAGGTGCACCGTGCCCCGGCTCCGAGGTTCCAGTGGAACTGGTCCGAGCAGACAGAACCACAGACAGACGGCCGCAGCCGGTCTGCTGGGCTCCGAGGGGTCAAGTCAGCCGCTGAGTCACAACTGACACTTAGACCCAGGGTGTCTCCCCTCGAGCTTCCTCAATCCACCCACGCTTATTTCATCGTTTCTCAGCTACTAGAAAACCTCCCAAATCGTGGAGTCCTCGCTACTGGGGACGGTGCGGGTGGGAGAGACGGTCGCATGCCGTAGGGAGTCTAAATATTTGTCCTAACGGCCGGGAGTGAGAAGGGACGGGAGGTTTCGTTTTCCAGAGGCAGTTGTCCCCGGAAAGGAAAACGGAAAGAAAAAAATGACGGTTGGTTCCAAGTCCCCGTTGAATAGATATCTGTCCTGTCAACAAGTATTTATGGGACATTCTATGCTGGGGCTTCAGCATCTATTAGCGAACAAAACAGGGGAAGATTGGTGCCCCCGTGGAAATTAAGGTTGTCGAAGGGAGAAGCGGACAATAAATAATCCTAATGAATAAGCCGATAATGCGGCAGAGGTCGGAGTGCTGCCGAGTAGAATTAGAAAGGACTGGCATGCCCCGGCCGGCCAGGCGCAGTTGGCTGGGTGTGGTCCTGGGCACGTTGCTGGTTCGGTTCCCGGTCAGGGCACATGCCCGGGTTTCAGGCTCCATCCCCTGCAGGGGGCGTGCAGGAGGCGGCCTGTAGATGTGTCTCTCACGTTGTTGTTCCTCTCTCTCCCTTCCTCTTTAAAAATCAAAAAAACTATTAAAAGCCCTGGCCGGTTTGGCTCAGCGGTTGGAGCGTCGGCCTGCGGTCCGGAGAGACCCGGGTTCAGTTCCCGCTAAGGGCATGTACTTCGGTTGCAGTTTGTCCCCGGCCCTGGTCGGTCGTGCGGGTGGCAGCCACTCGATGTGTCCCTTTCATGTCGATGTTTCTCTCTCTCTCTCTCTTCCTCTCTCTCCCTCCCACTCTATCTGTACAAAAAATGGAAAAATATCCTCGGGTGAGGATAAAAAAATAAAAAAATAAAATAAATAAAAAAACTATTAAAAAAAAGAAAGGACCGTCACGGTAAGGGTTACTGCACGCACCCGTGGGCGTGTGGCCCAGGAATGCGTGGCAAATAGCACGCTGGGGCTGGCCGTGTTGAGCAGTCAGCGTGTGAGCGCAAACGTGGAGGAGGAGAGACCGCTGACCTGTGGGTATCGGGGAAGCGAAAGCCCAGAAAATCTACTCGTTGGAGCCAGTTCCAACCCTGCAGGATTCGGGCACATCTTCCTATTTCTCGCCCTCCGTCCTGTGACCGAGGAGTCATTGACATAAATGCACAGGACGCCGTGGTCCGGGGGGCCCTGTTCCTGGCCAGGGGCCCGCAGCACGCTGCCACGCTTCGGCCGTGCGGGACCGGCCCACCGCCCACCTCCGGCCATCCGCGTCGATGTGCATGGGACCGCGGTCGTGCGGACACGAAAGGCTGTCTCCACACCGTCCGCTGTGTTATTACACACGTCGCTTTTCCTCAATCAGCTGAAAGGCCGCACTGTTTCAGAGTTTGTGCAAACTGCGTCAGTTCGAGCCTCTCCATCACCACCTGGTCCCTGCCTCCTGCCTCTCCCGAGAAAAGCTTCTCGATTAAATGCAAGCCTCCTGGGTCTGGCTTCTGTGCTTTCCCGTGTTCGAGTTTGCACCCTGTGCCCCAGGTCCTTGGAGGGCATGTACCCATTTCCAGAGTCTAATCACTGACTTTGTCTCCCGCTCCCCCCCCCGCCCCCCCGCCCAGCCCCCCCGCCCAGCCGGCAGCTGCATTAGGAACGAGACTCAGCCCACAAATTAATGTGATTTCATTTCCTTCTGAGCCCCGGAGACGAGATGGCCTGCGCCCAGCTCCCAGAGCGCTCTCCCGCTCTCCAGAAACATCCCTGGTTCCACGTTTCATTTGCCCTTAAGTGCTGCTCCTGGGTAGACGTAATTACCACTTACGGAGGAGAGTGCGTTTCTTGTCTCTCCGATGTTCAGGGCCAAGAACGGTCAAGGAATAGGTGGTGTTTGCCGGCCTTGGGACCGGTCACTGCGACGCGTGTTTTGCCACCACAAGTGACGGAGGGGACGACCTGCTGGAGGGCTGGTCGCTTCCTCAACCACTCCTGCAGCCCAATTATTCTAGCTCTTTCTTCCCCTGCTATTTAAAAGAAATTCTTTTTCCTTTATTGATTTGAGAGAGAGAGAGAGAAACATGGATGAGAGAGAACATCGACTGGCTTTCCTGCACGCCCCCCACTGGGGATTTGGCCCATAACCTGGCCATGTGTCCTGACCAAGAATCAAACCAGTGGCCTTTTGGTGCAGGGTCGATGCTCAACTACTGAGCCACATCGGCCAGACCCTGTACTATTTTTTAAATTATTTTTAAATTGTAGCTGACATAAAACGTATCGGTCTCAGGTGTACAGCATAGTAATTTGACATCCAGGTACCTTACAAAGCGATCACTACAGTCTAGCACCCACCTGACACTGCACCTCATTTCCACGCTACTACTGACCATTTCCCCGTGTAACGTTAGCCCCTGCTCTGCCACCCTTGTCTGTCCAGGCCCCGTGAACAGCTTAGCAATGACTCTTCCTTTTTTTTTTTTTTTAATCCTCACCCAAGGACATATTTGCATTTATCTTCAGGTAGAGCGGGAGGGAGGGGGAGAGAGATGTGAGAGAGACACATCAAGCGGCTGCCACCCACACGACCCAACCAGGGCCGGGGACAAACTGCAACCAAGGTACGTGCCCTTAGCGGGAACCGAACCTGGGACTCTCCAGTCCACAGGCCAACGCTCTAACCACTGAGCAAAACCGGCCAGGGCCGCAACAACTCTTTCAAGGAGACATTCACATTCGTGGAAACTGGAGCAAGTCAACTCTTCTTGTCATGAAACAAGCTAGACAGACCGTCTCTGGGCTTCCTGCCGTTCCTGAAGGTGACGTTACAAAGGGAGACTTTCTGAATGAGAGCTGTACTTTCACACAAGTGACGGGCGTACCTTTATGTCTCCTCCACACCGGTTAACGCTGGCTACGTGAGGTTACAGGATAGGTTAGCTGACGGGACTGAATTCGAACTAATGTGTCTCTGACCTGATGGCGTCATTGAAGCAAGTTAACTTGGAGTCAAGACCCAGGGTGTTCACCGCACCTCATCCCCACACCTCATCCCCACCCGCCAGCTCGTCATGGGGCTGAGATACCACCAGGGTCCTACAGTCATGAATCACCGACAACGAAAGCGGGAATCGCTCACATTCCCGTCCGTCTGGGTCACCTGTTTGTGTTGCTTTCTCTCCCGGTCTTTGGAGAAAGCTGAAGTCACAGCTCTCTCTTAAGCCCGGCAACATCGTGTTCGCCCCGTAAGCGTGTGCGGACGGAGTCTCCTCGTGGTCCCTCCGGGGCCGGAGCAATCGAAATAGCCCCACCGCAAAGAGCAGCCCCCAGAACCGATACCTGGTCTTGCATTGGCCCGACGAGTCAGTGTTTCACGCCTAATGGCCTGCCCAGCCCTAAAGTTAGCCTTCTGTTTCATTCGGTCAGCCAGGCCTCTGTATAAGCAGATTCTAAATAACTTGGTCAAGCTCAAGGAAAATAATCATTAGCACCAACAGAAAGCATTCTCAGATCAGTTCTATATATGCAGTGCCGCAGAATTATGACAAGAATCCCTTTCTACCCAGTATTTTACAACGAAACACGCACAAAACACCTACGAAAGAGCAACAGAGTATCTCGCTGTGGGTGTGCTTTTAGTATCCGCACATTGTAGCTCATTACCAGTTACTGTGACATCACCCTAAGGGACAGGTCTGCTAGCAACTCAGTATCTTCTGTCATCGCAACCGGATTAAAATGGAAGATGTCCTGCGATACTCAAGTCATCACACATGCCGGCGGCTAGAATTACAAGCAATTTAGCTGAGACTGTTTCTGCCCTCACGGTGAGTGGAATTTATCAAAGGGACGGCACCGCTGCTTGTGTGTCCCAATACCGGCCTCGGATTTCATGGTGTGAGGATGACATGAACAGGGCCCGTAAATTCATCTTACTAAGTGCTGGAAAGACAAGGCCAACGGCTCCGGAAATGAGCGCGGACTCGGCATGCGGCAATGAAACGGTAATCACGTTGGCAATAACACGTGAGGGACTTGGCGCTGTGCGCGCAGCCCTGGGAATGAGCCGCCTGGCCTCCTTCAGAGCCGCGCGGTTTGGTGGGTGATCCCGGAAGGAGGCGTTACCAGAACCCCGTCGGCTCCGCACGTTCGAGCTCAGGTCAGCGGGTGAACACGCGTCCGGCGACCGAGGTGCTGGCGTGCCCACCGATTCCGCCCGCGGAGCGCCGACCCCGCGAGACCACGGCCACGCTGCGTCTCCCAGGCGCACCCGTCGTGATTGGACTTCTTCCTTCACACCTGGGAGAGCCACACGCGCATCGGAGTGTATTGGACCCACCTTGGTCGTCAGAAAGTAATTCTTTGGGTTCTTTTCAGTTACAACGTCCTACATTTCCAAGTGCAAACCCTGGGATTTGAACTTAGCGCGTACCCGTTAGAACTACTCACAGATCACGTGGAGTTGGCCCGACCTCCGTAGTGAAGTGAAGACGGACACAGCTGTGGTCTCGGCGCCGGACCCCCGGTGATTCTGATGGAAGGTGCTGGGCCCAGCGGCAGCCGCCGTGACCTCGACACTGGTCCAGGCTCAGCCCTGTCTCACCTCCAGTTCCTGATCCTCCCAGAAGTGGGCGGCACTTTATCCTCACCTGGCTTCCCCGCCTAATGTGAAGGTGGGGGCGTGGGGGGATGGCCCAGGTCGCAGGCTGTCTCGAATTTCTTCCATGCCTGGGCCCCTCCTGCCTCCGCCCCGTTTGCCGCGGAGGGTTTATGAGACTGAGTCAGAGCAAGTGCAGTTTTGAAAAGACTCGGAGCTCAGGCACCGTGTCATGGGGTAAGAACTTCATGGGGTAGGACTTTCTGGGCGAGAAGGTGTGCTGGGCAGGCGGACGCCGTGTGCCCTGCGGTGTCCGTCTGCTGCCAGCTCAGGCTGCCCGGGGGGTGGGGGTCCACTCGCTCACACAGCTGCAGAGCAGGGGCCTAGACGTAGCGGATGCGACTTCCCACGCGGAGTTGGCTCTCTACCCACTGATTGACACCTTTGGGGGCCCTCTTTCCACTGACTCCTGATTTTTCCCACTGTTGAAAAAGGTTTCTGTACACCCGGTATTCTCTAGTTAAAGCTGAAAATCCAACTCATCATATTTACACAATCAAGGAAAAAAAATCCATTCTGCCTTGTTTTTAATTGCAAATTCTCCTCGAGGGACCCGTTCTCCTACCCGGGAGGCAGCCCTGTGCCTTCTCCTGCAGAAGCAAGTGCAGTCAATTATGGTAATGAAATGTCAATAAATATAAAAATTTCATACCGCCCGCTCCGGTGACTGGCACAGAACTCTCGCCTCCCGGACGAATTTGCTGCCGCTGCAAGATAAAATGCGCCTGAAAAAATCCCTGGTTTAAAAAAAAAGAAAAGATGGACCACCAGGTACCAACTGGGCCTGCCCATCCGGCTGTCATTGGTCACTGGCAGCCACCCTGACATCTTATTATTGCAACGGGCCTTTCTGTGTCCCTGCGAATAATCCAGGATCGGGGTGTCGCCACACCCTTCTGTATGAACAAGGAAAGAAGCCTTTTTCGTTTTGTGTTCTCCATTGAGAAACTCTTCTTATAAATGAGATCAGGAAGGAATGTATCGATAATCAGGCAGAAACCGTGGCTGTGACTTCTGAGGAAGCCACGGCTGAAGAACAACCTCCACGTGGATCTCATCCACACCCTCGCGCTCCTGCCCCCGCGGACTTGAACATCGTGCCCCTTAAGAAAATACAAAGAGAAACCTATTTGTGGCTGAACCCACTTCGTGTGTGTCTTTTTCTTTGAACTTATTCATAAGAGTTAAACATCTTTATTTATTTATTTGTTTAATCCTCACCCCAGGACATTTTTGCATTTATCTGCAGATAGAGTGGGAGGGAGAGAAGGGGGGAGAGAGAGAGAGAGAGAAACATCGATGTGAGAGAGACACATCGAGTGGCTGCCACCCACACGACCCCAACTGGGGCCAGGGACAAACCGCAACCGAGGTACGTGCCCTTAGCGGGAACCGAACCCGGGACTCTCTGGTCCCCCAGCCGACGCTCTAACCACTGAGCAAAACCAGCCAAAGCAGAGAGTTAAAAATCTTAATCTTATGTGACAATGTGATTTCACAAAGGTGTGTGTGTGTATGTAGAAACACACGTGTGTGTGTATATATATATATATATTACATGTAAATATAAAATTTAGAGTGAAAACCTGTTCCCTACAAAGCTATCGAAATGATTAAGTTGATCAGAATAATTATGACACATTTTACAATAAGAGAATGTGTCTCCGGCTACTTTCGTGGCGGGTGGCCACATACGCCCGCAAGGCAGCCTGGTGTTGCCCACGCGGTGTACAAGTCTCCAGGGAACCGGGTTTCTAAGTGCGGTTCTGTGTTGCAGGTGGATTATTCCATAATCGCGTCGCAAGCCGGGGCCACGCTGAACAACCTCATGAGCCACGCCCAGGAGTTAGTGGCAAAGCTCCGTTCTCTGCAGTTCGACCAGCGGGAGTTCGTGTGTCTGAAATTCTTGGTGCTGTTTAGCTTAGGTAAGGAATCTCTCTCTCCTGCTGCCTTTCACCAAAGGTGCCGGCGGGATTCCGAGCGGGGAGTGTCCTCAGGCGCGTCGTGTTTTTGTCCTTCCGAATCGTGCCCTTCTTTTTAAACCACCCCTCTTCCGACGTGGAGATGTAGGCATGGCCTGCGTGGCTCCGAGCCCTGCGCGGCCGGGCTGAGCTGTGGATGGAGTTGTCAGCCGGGAGTCCTGAACTTTCGTTCTTACAATGGAGATGGCGAAGTGTCAAACTTGAGCCGTCGCTGTGCCCTTGATGGTCTCTGTGTGGCTCGTGTTTCTGCTTCTGCCTGTGCTGTTATTTATTCTGGTTAAATGTGCATGAGTCCGGCCGGTGTGGCTCAGGGGTTGAGCGTCGACCCTGCACCACGAGGTCGCCAGTTTGATTGCCAGTCAGGACACAGGCCCAGGTTGTGGGCCCGATGCCCAGTGGGGGGCGTGCAGGAGGCGGCCAGTCGATGTTCTCTCTAGTCAGTAATTCTAGCTCTCTCTCCCTGTCACCACCCTCTCTCTCTAAAATCAATGAAGGAAAAAATTTTTTAAAATGTGCATGAGAGCAAGGAGCTGCGTCCGAGACCTCCCGGGATGAGCCGGGAAGCGTGTGTGACCAGAGGTACCACTCCGTGCGTATGAAAGACGATGGCTGTCAGGGGGAGGTGATGCTTCTTTAGGGGAGCTTTGGAGAAGAAAGATCACGAACAAGACAGATTAGGTAAATCAAGGTTCTCCGTGAGTCAGCTGAGAAAAATCAGCACGGTTTGCAATAAAAAAGGGATTAAGGAGATGGATTTTTATTGACTTCAAAGGAACAGATTTTTCTGCCTGTCCCATCCCTGATTTCTGTATTTTGCTGGCTTAATAAAGCCAACTTAAATAAACTTTTTGCCAAGTCCATTTATTGTGTATTGGCAGGCAGCTGAAGGAGGCAATTTCCCTCGAATGAAAAAAAAAAAGAAAATGCAGAAATCAGATTTACCAACATATGTTTTATCTTTAGTCTTCAGTCATAAGATAGCTGTGAATTCATAGCCTAAGAAATAAAATAAAACAAACTGCAAAGGAAAACAGATGTGTCTACTCTCCAAACTGGGTACGTGGGACTGAACATTCTTCTTGCCGTCCCCGCACAACTGTTGCTAATAAAGGGTTAGTTTGAAGTAACGGGACCCGAGTTAATCTTTCACATGTAGCCGGCGTTCAGAGGAAAAGGAGCATTTTCGTGTTTTGGAAAATGTGACAAATACGGCGAAAGGAAACGTTACTGGAAATGTAAGCAGACAACAGAATTTCGCAGGCGGAGTGTTCAAAGGTTTTGCCGAGCCAGGGCTGAATCCTGCGAGGTTTCTGGGTGAACCGCCATGAATAGAACGTGCTGGCCCCGTAAACCTCCATCTTTCACCCCAGAGTCGTTTTTAGGAAGAGGAGAAGGTGAGCACCAGGCTGCTGGCGGTCACTGCCCAGGTCACTCCGGGTCAGGACCAGGTCCTCGTCTGCGCGACGCGGGTGATGTGTGGGTGGGACGGCTCTGAGCATCTTGCCGATGGGGAGAGTGATCTCACTCGGGCGGTATCTTGAGTTCGTTGAATCGCTGTGGCATTCGAAGAGGTAGAGATGAGCCACGAGCCGTGCTCAGTTTTTATGACTTTTATCTTTATTATGTCCTGTCAGGACAGGGGGTCGGGGGCTCGGAAATGCTTTCAGCCTTCGAACCTCCCAGACCATCCTCCTGAGCATCTGGCCATGTCCCTGCTGCGTGGCCTCCTGTGGGCTGGCTGCTGACCACCTCAGCAGCAGGAGGGCCAGGGACAAGCAGCCCAATGCCCCTTAAAACGACGCCTGTTTGTTGTTTAAAGAAGAGAAAATCCTGGCTTTCAGGTCGGAAGTAAATCATTTTGGCCAAGAGTTTGTTTTGTTCAATCCTCATGCAGGGTATTTTTCCATTTATATTCAGATCGAGTGGGAGGGGAGAGAGAGAGAAACATCGATGTGAGAGACACACGTCGATTAGTGGCCTCCCTCACGACCCCGACCAGGGCCAGGGACCGAGCCACACTGAGGTACGTGCCCTTGACCGGAATTGAACCCGTGATTCTTTGGTCTGCGGGCCGACGTTCTAACCGCTGAGCCAAACCAGCCAGGGCACCAAGAGTTTATTTTTAAAGGAGCAGGAAAAATGTAGCCACGGTCAAGTTCATCCAGCTTCCAGTTGATGAATGAAAGACGTTTTCAGCCTGCGGTCCGGAGAGACCCAGGTTTGGTTCCTGCTAGAGGCATGTACCTGGGTTGCAGTTTGTCCCTGGCCCTGGTTGGGTCGTGTGGGTGGCAGCCACTCGATGTGTCCCTATCACATCGATGTTTCTCTCTCTCTCTCTCTCTCTCCCGCTCTATCTGAACAAAAAATGGAAAAATGTCCTCGGGTGAGGATTAAAAAAAAAGACATTTCCCCGTAGACGTGTCATCCATGTTTTGGGGGCAAATTGAAGTGCTGGGTGAACCTTTAGGCGCCTGGGCCAGCCCCCGAGTGCCTGCTGTCCCTGTGATGGGAATGAAATCACATCGGGGCCACCTCGCAAGCCGAGCCCCAGTCCAAGCCAGGATTTGCCGTCCGCTGAGCTCTGGGCTCCCTGAGCCTGGAACCCGCTGCCTGTGATCCCAGCCCGGCTGACCTCTCTGACCCTGGAGGAAAAGGAGGCTGGTCGGAGGCAGGGCCGAGGGCCGGGAGAGCGGGCTGCACGGCGTCCCCTTGGTGAGAGATGGGACCGGGCAGACGGTGAGAGAAGGAGGTGTGAGCCCCTGTGGGTGCACCATTCTGAGCCAAAAGCACGTCCGGTAGGAAAGCGAGAGCCGGGGACTCAGGCGGCGTCAGGCGGGCACGGAGGCTGTGCCTGCTGCGTGCCCGGCCCTCGGTGAGCCACCGGGGCCTTCGTCAGGTTCCGGTACCGGGCTCAGGGTCACGGGATTCCGGAAGTGACGTGGAGAGGGGGCTGGCGAGGAACAGCTTCGTGCAGAGGGGTTAACACCTGGGGAGGGTGGGAGGTGGGAGAGGAGCGTCCGACGTTCAAACCCCGTGTGACAGGTAAGAAGGAGATGCCCGGGTGGCCCGGGCTCTGGGTGCCGTGCCCAGAACGGAAAACTCCAAGGCAGGGGAGGCAAGGGCATCAGCAGCCATTCCCCTAAAAGTTGCCCCTCCCGGAAGCTGCCGGGTCCCCGAGGGGCTGAGAGCCCTGAAATGGACCCTCCGACCTGCTGCAGACTGTGTCTGTGACTTAGCAGTGGGTGCAGCTGGTTGAAAAGGACACAGATGTAAAACGCCTCTCAGGGTACTTCTGGGGGTGACATCACGGACTCTGGAGGCCATCTCTGCCAGGGGTCCCGTTTTCTCAAGGCACCGTTGGGGGGTCTTCCCGGCCAGCCGTGCCCCGTCTCTGCTTCTCCCTCCTCGCCTATGATATTCCACTTTAGAAACACTCACCGGACACCCGTCCCATGGCCCCGCCGGCTCCCTGTCAGCGCCTGGCCGTGGCCGGCCGTCTGCACAGGCCCCCTCGGATGGACGCGGAGGCTGCAGGGGCGGGAGGCGTTGATTAGCATTCAGGCGATGCCGCCGCTCGATACGGACACCGCAGAGAGTTGGCAGAGGCAAATTATGGCACATGAAGTTGATGCTTGTCTTAATTAAATGCACTGTAATAGCTGTTGTGCGGGTTTTTCCCGGCAGCGAGCAAGCAGTTTAGCGGGGCCGGAGATCATTCGTTTTGCAGATCTGAGTTGGAACGTGATCAATACGCGTTCACGGCCGCGGGAGAGAGTGGCCCGAAGTGTGTGCGCGGACCTATTTCTGAATCGCTTATGCCCGAAAGCATTTATCATTTTTTTAGGTGTTAACGCCACGCTCGGCATTTCGCTAACTGCTGCTGGTTAGGGGGTGGTTTTCCGGAGACGGATGGGTGTGGTGCGCGGGGCGTAACAAGGAAGCGCTGTGGTCCCCGTGTCCCTGCTTTGTCCCCCACCCGAAGGGCTCGAATCCAGGTCTGTCCTGGTCTGGACTCACGGCGGTCAGGTGGTTACCTCGGGTGGTTCACTCCGGGCCCGAGTCGCTTCTGGCCTGGGCCAGCCGATCCGGGACTCACCGGGTCGGCGTGGAGCCTGCTTCCTCGCTCACGGATAAAACCCATCGGTCCAGTCTCGAGCTCTGGCTCTGTTTGGTTAAGGGGTTAAATTCCAAGCCGAGCACCTCCAGCCGGCACCAAGAACAACTCTGGGGTTAAAGGCCCTTTGTCCCCTGGGGGGATTAGACTCCACAGAGCAGATGGAACAGGCACCAGGACCAAAGCCGCCGTGCGGGCCGTGCGGGCCGTGCGGACCGGCAGCCAAGTCCTTCCCCCGAGAAGGAAGCCCCTCTGTCGCACTCAGAACCGCACTCTGGATCCTGGATCCCTTCAAAAGGGACTCCAAGCACCAAGCCGGCGTCCAAAGCTCAGCATTTCGCCGCGTCCTGCCCCTCGCCCTGGTCTCGGCCCTCCCCACACACACACCTGACGGCGCCCCGGACCCTGAAAGGAGCTGGGAGCCTGGGGTCACCTGTGGGTGCCTCAGGGGGCGTCCCGTCCCCCACCCCAGCACCCTGAGCTTCCCGGATTTTCAACAGGAACTCTGGCTTCAGTCCTGAAAAGACAGCGGATCCTAGAATTACACCTTGAGAGAACCTGCCCCGTAGCCACATCCAACCCGTCGTTTCTGCTGAAATTGAGACCAAGAGGGAGGGGACTTGTCCACGGCTCTGCAGAGTCGGGTCCACACAGAGGAAAGGGGCCCAGGTGGGGGTCCCCGCGGGTATTGAGGTGCTGCTTCTGCATTGTTTTCTAAGGGAGATCTAGAGGTTTGTTTCTCAGCCATGCCCCCGAGCCACATCTGGAAATCTCACCGCCGTGGAGGGAGGGCTCTTTCCTGTGGCCACACTTTGGTCACCCAGCCTCC